TTGAGTTTTTGATATATATTGAGACATGCATTACAAATAATGATTAGAAAAAGTACAATGCCAAGAGCTAAATTTGTAATTGATGGATTCGATCCACCAAGTGGTTGGTAGGCAATAAAAGCAAGAATACCACCAAGCCAAAGAATTAAATTAAAACCCATAAATAATTGTTGAAATAACAACCAAAAATAATTCTGTGATTGAGGTGGTGTAATCTGATTGGTACCATAATTTAGTTGAGCATCATACACAAAAGAAGTTGATAAACCAAAGTGTTGATTTGAATGAAAGCGTTGAAAAATACTTTCCATTGGACTAACATGAACATCCTGATCAAGTCGAGACATATCAGTATTAACCCAAAGATTAATATTTGAATGTTTTCGTTTTGCCATATTAGTGTAATGCTCTTCAATTGTTAGTTTTCAAGCTCGAATCACAATCTAAAATTGGTGAACTAAATCAGACAAAAGATACATGAATCTTTTCTAGTTCCTTTTTCAATAAACACTCAACATATATAATGTACTATAAGTTGATGTTCCTTTCTAACAATAGTCTTTTTAATATCTGAATCGATTGTTACGTGATTTGTCTACATACCATTTCTGATCTGTTAAAAGAAAGAATTGCAGTTAAAATTGAACATTAAACTTATAGAGTTTAATGTTTCTTGATAATCTTTGAAATTTCTTCAAATTATATTTAGAAACATAATGTTCTTATAAAAAATATAAAAAACATTTAAACATGTAGTCTCGAGTAGAAATGTAAGTGGATGAGTAGATTGGTGGCTTAAAAATATCAACTTTTTTCACTTGTCGGCGGCGCCGACTTAAAAATATTAAGTTTTTTGCCTGTAGGCGACGGCGACGGCTTAACCGATCGGCTTACACCTCTAGTCTCGAGTGAGAGCAGTTTAATTATCTTAATACCGAAATGGCACGTTTTTATAAGGATAAAACATGCATGCGTTGAGATATAACTGAAGCATCAAAAGAAACTGAAAGATAATTAAAAATACAAAATCTTTTAGTCTCAAGGCTATTTATGTCACTTGCTGTATTTATTACTCGAAGTATTTTTATTTACGACGAAGAAAAAAAGACTAGTATGTATTCTTCTGTTGCAATGCGTGTTTTCTTACTTGAATACTAATGTGTGTATAGACCAAAAAGATGTTAAAAATAAAATATAATTTTAATTAAGTAAAAAAAGAACAAAATAAGATGTGCTCATAATACCGCAGGTCTCGCCGTATGTTCACTTTCCTGATTTTCTGAAAATGTCACGATTTTCCTGTTTTTAATTAAACGTCCTGATATTTTATGAATTATTCTCACAGGAGTGAGCTTACCTAATTTTCATCTTTCCTGTAATTTTACTCTGTCTGTTGCGAATTCTTACAAAGTATATTTTCTTAATCGATTCAAATTTTCATTATTATCAATCAATTTAGTTTTAAAAGCAGTTGTCATTAGTACTTCAGGTATTTCGATATCACCAAATCTTTTATTCTGCATAGCTGTAGCAAGTCTTGTAGTCCCTTCGTCTAATATATTAGTCATCTTGTTTAATTTTTCTTGTAAACTTTTAGTTGCTGATGTTTGTGTTTCTGAAGATTCAAGAGAAATTTCTGAATTAGTCTTCAATAATTTTATATTCTCTAAATGATCTTTTGTCTTTATATGTTGTAAAATGGCACCCCCATCCTTAGTTAGAACAATTCAAATCATTTTTTTAGATATAGCACATGAAAATGTTGATATTTTTTCACCTTGTTTTAACCATAAATCCAATGTAGCACCTTCATAATCCATTTTTTCAAGCTAGCTTTATTTAAAATTAGTATTGTTTGGCATTCATATTCAAATAATAGTTAAAAACAAATAAAACAAAGATTTATTTTTTTCGAATTATCGATGTCAAATGCAGAACTAGATACAAATATAATAGAAAAATATCGATTGCCAGTTTTATCCGAGATCTGTTCACTAACAACGAACTAAATAACCTATTTTCTATATAATCCCGATGAGCTAATCAGAAACAGATTGTCTCTGATTGCTATAATCTATATAATATGTTATGAACGCTGATGCTAGTAGATATTCACAACTCGCATGACACTTTTCTCGCACAAATATTCGATTTTCTAAAAAATATACGAATTATAAAAAGTATAGTCTGACTATGAAGGAAGTAAATTTATAAAATTAAGTCTGTTGTTTTTCCTCATACATTGAACTTAATGATCTATTTCTATATCGTACTGTTCTCTGTCAAACATCTAAGTATGATTATTAGACATTGAAATATCATTGTGAGACATCTCGTAAAACAATATCGCTGTTAGTGTGAATTCGAGATTAGAAGATTATGAATGGCTTCTATACATAATGAAAAATTATAATTCATCCTAACTTCAATATGTCTAAATTGATCAATATATCATTAATAAATGGTTATACTTTTCATTTCTTTCTTATTAATGGTGAATACGAACTAATTTGTTCACTTAGACCATATATTGGTAATATATTCGTATATATATCGTAGTTCTTTAGTTTTTTCTTCATCATACGAGGCCTCGTTCAGCACTATAACAATACAATCCAATTCTATACAAGTTATTCCTTATTAGATTGCTTTATGCCACGACTACTATTTAAGGTAATGTTTTTTTCTTCTTTTTTTTATTACAGTGAACATTCTCGAAAAGAATTAGAAATGTAAATATGTCTGAGAAAGTCATTTATACACATATGCGTACAAGTGTGTTACCTTATCAGTTGAGTTTGTCCATTATATTTTTATTATTTACAGAGTTGCTCTCTGTACGCGCACGTGAGACACTCGAAAGTAGAATTAATTCTACAGTAAGCAAACAAAATATTCTTTTATTTATTTATCAACTATTCTTTCTCATTTCTTCTTTTACACTTTCAATACCATCTTTCACACTTTTGACATGAGGATGAGCTGGAGGTAAAGCACTTTGTAGTATGTTCAGAGCACGTTCAAAATATGAAAGTGTTTTGGAGTAGTTTTTCATACTGTAATACACCATAGCAATGTTATTGTATGAAGTAGCCAAATCAGGATGATTTGAAGAAAGAGTGTTTTGACAAATTTCTAGTCCTTTTTCGTGAAATGAAAGTCCTTTCGAGTACTCTCCCATCTTGTCATACACGCTGCCCATATTATTGTATAAAGTAGCCAATAAAGGATGATTTGAAGGAAGAGTTTTTTGATAGATTTCAAGTGCTTTTTCATAAAATGAAAGTGCTTTTGGGTATTCTTCCATGTTGCTATACACCGTACCGATGTTGTTGTATGAAGTAGCCAAATCAGGATGATTTGAAAGAAGAGTTTTTTGATAGATTTCAAGTGCTTTTTCGTAAAATGAAAGTGCTTTCGAGTACTCTCCCATCTTGTCATACGTACTACCAATATTGCTGTATGACTGCGCGAAATCAGGATGATTTGAAGGAAGAATGTTTTGTCGAATTTCAAGTGCTTTTTCATAAAATAAAAGTGCTTTTGGGTACTCTTCCATGTTGTTATACACCGTACCGATGTTGTTGTATGAAGTAGCCAAATCAGGATGATTTGAGGGAAGAGCGTTTTTGAAAATTTCAAGTGCTTTTTCATAAAATGAAAGTGCTTTCGGATATTCTCCCATGCTATCATAAACACTACCGATGTTGTTATATGGAATAAACAAATCAGGATGATTTAAAGGAAGAGTTTTTCGATAAATTTCAAGTGCTTTTTTGTGAGATGAAAGTGCTTTTGGGTACTCTCCCATGTGGTTATACACATTACCAATGTTGTCGTATGAAGTAGCCAATGACGGATGATTTGAGAGAAGAGTTTTTTGTTGAATTTCAAGTGCTTTTTCGTAAAATGAAACTGCTTTCGAGTACTCTCCCATCTTGTCGTACACATTACCAATGTTATTGTATGAAGTAGCCAAGGACGGATGATTTGAAGGAAGAGTTTTTTGCATAGTTTTTAGTGCTTTTTCGCAAAATGAAAGTGCTTTCGAGTACTCCCCCATGCTTTTGCACATCAAACCGATATTGTTGTATAAAGTAGCCAAATGAGTATGATTTGAAGGAAGAGTTTTTTGAAAAATTTCAAGTGCTTTTTTGTAAAATGAAAGTGCTTTCGAGTACTCTATCATGCTGTCATACACGCTACCGATGTTGGCGTATGAAGTAGCCAAATCAGGATGATTCAAAGGAAGAGTTTTTTGAAAGATTTCAAGTGCTTTTTCGTAAAATGAAACGGCTTTCGGATATTTTGCCATGTCTTTATATGCCGTACCGATGTTGTTGTATGAAGTTGCCAATGCAGGATGATTTGAAGGAAGAGTCTTTTGTTTGATTTCAAGTGCTTTTTCGTAAAATGAAATTGCTTTCGAGTACTCTGCTATGTCGTGGTACACAATACCGATGTTGTTGTATGAAGTAGCTAAGAAAGGATGTTTTGAAGAGAGAGTTTTTTGATAGATTTCAAGTCCTTGTTTGAAATACCAAATAGCCTTTTCATAATCACCTTGACTACGACGGATAAATCCCAGCTGATTATAATAAATTGCTTTCTCACCCAGATCAGATGTCTGTTCGAATAAAACATTATAAAGTTCTTCAGCTTTATTGAATTGACCAATTTTTAGCAATAAGTTGCCCAATCTTTGCCATCCAGTACTACTATCAGCTTCTTCTCGTATCCGATCGGTAAGTTTTCGTAGTTGTTCATCATTATCGAAGGTTAATTGTAATTCAACTTGATAAAGTTGATTCTCATTGCTCATTTGTTTAATGGCAATCACTCGAAAGACTGTGTGCATTGAGAAGAGAATTTCATCTTCGCTCTTAATAGCACTCACTTCCTTGACGGAGGCAAATGGCGCTGATTTAACACAAGGATCAATGGACATCATAAAAAGAATGCCCACCTTGTCCGGTTCTGTTGTAGCAATGAGTGCATAACCGATGGATACTTCTTTATCTTTGGTGGTGGACAAGAAATTGTTAAATGACATTAAGCCGCCTTGTGTTTTCTGGAGTTTTTCGAAGTCTGCTTTCAAAAGACCTTGACCACGATAAACTAAAAAAGGTTTTCTTCCATAACTGTCGACCTGTTGTTCGTATAATTGCTGAATTTGTTCATGTACATCTCGTAGAAAAAAACCCATAGTAATAATTATATCGGCTTCTAATGTTCGAAGAGCATAATTGAGCATATAGTAGATGTTGGATGGGAAAGTGTACCACCAAATAGCTAATTGAGCATGGTATTCTTTCTCAAAACGGTCAATATATTTTGGTGACACACAATCATGATCTCGACAGTAAGTAATAAAGTCTTTGATAGACTGTTCGTTATGTTCCATATCAAAAAGAATTTCCTTGAATAGTTGAGTATACATAAAAGTTGGCTCCAACTGATTTAAGTTATCAGTTAAAGCCATTTCCTTTACTGTGATAAAACTCATGGCTATTGAGTCTTGATTGAACTGCTTGATACCGATTTGTAATGCTTGGCATAAGTCATCGATGTTGGCATGAACGCTCTTGATTTTTTGCCATTTTGTTTTCAATTCTTCAGTTTGGATATTAGCATCATTAAAGATATAAATACCATGCAGCTGAGGAATATTATTGATGTGGGGCATTATTTGTTGAGACATAGTCTCCTTGACAACGAGAAAAGACTTGATGTCTTCTTGAGCATCTGTAAGATAGTCAATACATTCATCTCGTTGCTTAAAGACTTTCACATTGTCGGCGATGGTTTTTAATTGTGTCAAAATATTTTGATAATCTTTATTTGCTTCTTCTCCACACTCATCTAACCAAAGGAGTGAATAATTTTGAACTATGTGTCGTCTTGGTTGGATAGCATCCGATGGTGTCATAGTCGTGTTACTGTTATTCATAAATGCGTTTGATGATGAAAAATCTTTCTGATTTGATCTTGATCCACGCGTTTTGTCCTTATTATAATTTGATGTTGAATATAAGCTTGCCAATATTTGTTCTTGTCTGAATAGTAAGAAAGCGCACTGCTCTTATTTGTAATAGTAATGACGTAGTTTTTCTGTTCTTTTGAGTATGTAAATGTGTGTATTTTTTGTCAGGATTTGAAGAGAATCTTCAACTAGTTACTTTCTAACATACTGCTGTGAAGAGTAAGAGACAGACGGACGTGAATAAATTTCTTAACAACGTTCGCGACAGAACGAACAAATAAGAAGCTAGCAAACGATAATGATTTATAGTTCTCCTTTCCAGTTTTCTCTTCCCTTCATCTGTATAATTATCCCAGTATGTCAATGTGCGTGCGACACTTTGTCATTAAAATAGAAGAAAAAAACAAATATGATTCATTTAGCATATATTTAATCTCTTCGCCATACGTTGTTTATAAATCGTCGTAAAGAATTTGTTAAAGCAAAAGAACTGTCAATGAACAAGAAATATCTACTGATTTAAGAATATTATAATAAATTTGCTGTTTTCTGTTCGAAAAAGAAAAGTATTTCGTATGAACATCTTTTAAAGACTAGTATTGTAAATAGTTTTTAAAAATTACAAAACAGTTAAATCTAATGGTATTGAAAAAACTTCATTTTTCACAAATGATAACGTGGTACAATATCTATCTAATTTACTAATTCAATTTTTATAATTGAGGCACAGAATA